CGTAGGTACTATATGTGTCTATGCATTTTTTTTTTAAAGATCCCAATGACTTTGAAAAGGGGGTGTATGAGATACTGTCTACAGGAAAGGGCACTGACTATTCAAATGCTGCTGAGTCTTGTACTCGTTTACAAATTTTTGCTTTCAGTTCAATGAAGCAAGTAACCTTTACCATCCATTTTAAGGAATGAAGTAATACTATTTTTTATGTCTGATTTTTTTCACAGACCAAGACTAAACCAGTACAGATGATGTTTCTGAGAGATACATTTTTGATACGCCATGAAACAACCATGAAATTCAAAATCATTGAGCTGCCATATGTGGAAAATGAACTCAGCATGTTCATTCTCCTACCAGATGACATCAATGATAACACTACTGGCCTGGAGCTGGTAAAACTGACCTACTGTTGCATGACATATGCTATGAGACAGTAGCAGAAACAGATGAAAAGGGCGAGGAAGAACGAGCTTCAAAATCATGATAGAATAGGTTCTGATGTGTGCATATTTTGTTTCATAAACTAGAACACCACGATTTCTCAGCTTATGATTCAGGGCATCTGATAACATTGCAAACATAGTATTTTACTTAGGGATACACCTAAAAAGTATGTCCATGTACCTGTCTTAGCCTGTTTTGTGTACCCTCTTCTATTGCTAGAATAGCACAAGGAAAGCAAGGACCAAATCTGAATTACCATGCCCTAGAGTAATCTTCTTCTGAGGGCTGTATTAATTCATTTTTATGTCATTTGCAATCTGGATTTGCACCTGATATTTTGTGGTGAGGTTTCTCAAACTAAGTGCTGACCACCCTGGCCCAGAAGGTATCAACAGCCACTCATGACCGCGCCAGGATCAGTTTCAGATTCTAAACAGATCAGGGCAAACATCTTTTTATTTGTACCTGAGGTCCCAAGCGTTCCACTTATTTACCACTGCTAAGAGAAAAGTCATCCATGTACATACATTATTGTTATTAATATCATTATGAATCATGCATTGCATAAAAGCAATACTCTTCTCACTAGAAAAAAAAATGAACTACTCTCACAGTTCAGGCCTATACCTCACCATCTTTAAGAAAACAAGAGTGTAAGCCACTGACAGTCTGATCTCACTTCATTGCAGGTTGAAAGAGAGCTGACGTATGAGAAACTGGCTGAATGGACTGAATCAGCCAGCATGATGAAAGCTCAAGTGGATCTGTACCTGCCCAAGTTGAAGTTGGAAGAGAATTATGACCTTAAATCCACTTTGAGCAGCATGGGAATACGAAATGCTTTTGACCCCATTCAGGCTGATTTCACAGGGATGTCAGCCAAGAAAGATCTTTTCATCTCAAAAGTTATTCATACAGCTTTCGTGGAGGTCAATGAAGAAGGTACTGAGGCAGCAGCTGCCACAGGTGTCCTGGTGCTGAGATCAAAAACACCTACAATGACCTTTAAAGCTGACCACCCTTTCCTCTTCTTCATCAAACACAACAAATCCCAAACCATCCTCTTTTTCGGCAGGCTCTGCTCACCCTAGCCAAAGTTACTCCTTGTCCTGCAGAGCAGGAGACACCTGCTTGCCAGCCCAGAGGCAAATACCACAACCTGAAACTCCTGCTGCAACTGTGGGGAGTGGGACCTGAACCCTTTCTCCACCAGACCACTCACCCCAGGGCCTGAAGCACAGTTCCTCCTGTACTTCTCTCCCACCCCGAAGGGACAACCATGGCGGTGGGGAGCACACAATGCCTTGCACGCACAGAACAATCCTGGCTGCCATTCAGACCAGGCCATGAAGGGTAGTTCCACCCCCTAACCACTATTAGCTATGGCATTTCTATCCCTTCCCCTCACAGCGGTCTGTACAAACGTACGCTAACACAGGCCCTCTCCTCACTCCCATGGCTAGAGCCCCTGATTCAGATGTGGTCTTGGCACGTGCTCCCACCCCACAGCAGTTAGACCCAGCTCCTGTTTAGCCTTTGATTAGGTCTTTGCATCACCAACAGACGCAGACCCTCCCTATCCAAGACCTGTGACGATTCCCTTGCCTTCCTTCCACATCCCAGCTGTAAGTTCTCATCAGTTCCCAATTTCACCTCCATTAGCTTCACATCACTCTAAGGATTCCTTAAAAAAATAATAAATTAAAAAATACACCTTTGTGAGGGCTATTTGCCTCATTCAGGTACATGAGGAGCCAAGCACATACAGTCTCTGGCTACAGCAATTTAAACAATCCCTGCTTCAAAAATAATAAATAATAGTAACAACTCTTCACGGACTAGTGGTGTTTTCTGCCAGCTCCGCCACGAGAGGGAGGCAGAGGTAGAAAATCACCGGCTGTGGCAAGGCGAAGCGAGGCGAGGCGAGGCCCGTGGAGATATAAAGGGGGAAGTGAGGGAGTGTGTGAGGGTTCTCTGCGATGGTGAGCAGCGGTAAGCCATTTTGTCTGAGGGGAATGCAATACATCCTCTTCACGGACTAGTGGTGTTTTCTGCCAGCTCCGCCACGAGAGGGAGGCAGAGGTAGAAAATCACCGGCTGTGGCAAGGCGAAGCGAGGCGAGGCGAGGCCCGTGGAGATATAAAGGGGGAAGTGAGGGAGTGTGTGAGGGTTCTCTGCGATGGTGAGCAGCGGTAAGCCATTTTGTCTGAGGGGAATGCAATACATCCCCGTTGTTTTCCAGGAGAAGCTTGCGCTTGTCTTTTATTTTTATTTTTTTTTTTAAGGAGCAGCGGCTGCATGGCATTGCTTTTATTATTTTTTTTCTCTTTCGTCACCTGGTTTTAGTTTTTTGTCAGCTGGAGTGTCGGGGATGCTTCT